TTCCTGTCAGAGCAGTACAACTATGGAACCAATTATCTTGAGGAGGTGGTGAGCTTTCTACACTGGAGGCATTGTGGAGAAAGCCAGACAGCCATCTATTAGATATAATTTAACTTGGATTTCTTTGTTTAACTTGATGTCCTTATAACCCCCTTCCAAATACATTATTCTACAATCTTTGACTACCCTATTAACTTTTAAAAATCTAGCCTGCTGAAGAGTTCTATAGAGCTCAAAAGGTTGCATATTTTGTGCATTTAATGGATCCTTTCAAAGAATTCCCCAGCTTCCCAGAATTCTGGATTCTTTTTGTACTATGTTGTACTCTTCTACAACATAGGCTCATCATTTTTTGAAAAGAGAAACTACTGACACTCAGAATGAAGTTTTGCAACATTTGTTGGTTAACAACCTAACCATTTCAACCTGGAAGCAAATCCTATTAAATTTAGTGGGATTTATATGGTATGTGTCTATATGATTGCAAAATGGTTGTTGTCTCTGCCTTGTTTCTTTCCCCAGTGTAAAAAATTGCAACTGTAAAAAATATATATTTGCTAGAAACGTAGTGCTTTGGACAGCTTATGACACACAGCATGCCTTCTGGAACAACATAATTTTTAATAAAAACTTAAAAACCTAGGTTTAGGATGAAAAAGTTATTCAGAATCTTTTCTAGTTACATTTCAGCTGAGTTGTGGTTTTCCTGTCACATGAACTCCTGAACATGGAGTCTAATTTTGTTGTTTTATCAGCCTCCTCATATATCCAAGACAAATAGGATACTAGAATATGTTTTCGTTTTTTGATGTGTTATCATTGCAAGATCACAGCTTTTGTTTGAGTGCATGAGAAATAAAAGGGAATTTGAATTTTTCATATCCTTTGCTATAGATGAGGTGAAAATATACCGTATTTTTTGCACCATAAGACGCACTTTTTCCCCCTCCAAAAGGGGGGTAGAAAGTCTGTGCGTCTTATGGTGCGAATGTGGTGACTTCGCCCTCCACTGGCCCCGTGGGGGGGAGCGTCGCAAGGGTCCGAGGGAGCCTTCCAGGACCCTTGCAATGCTCCCCCACCCCCCCACGGGGCCAGCGCAGGCGAAATCGCCAGCTTCCTGGTGGGGGGAATGTTGCAAGGGTCCTGGAAGCTCACTCAGACCCTTGCGACACTCCTCCCACCGGCAAAATCGCCAGTTTTTGGGAGTGTTTTGAGGCTTCCCAAGCCTCAAAACATTCCGAGAAGCTGGCGATTTTACCCCCCCTGGCCCCGTGGGGGGTGGGGGTAGCGTGGCAAGGGTCCAAGGGAGCCTCCCAGGACCCTTGCCAGGCTGCCCCCACCTCCCCACGGGGCCAGCCCTGGTGAAATCGCCAGGTTCTGGGAGTGTTTGGAGGCTTGGGGAGCCTCCAAACACTCCCAGAAGCTGGCGATTTTACCCCCCCCTGGCCCCGTGAGGGGGTGGGGGTAGCGTGGCA